TGGATGTCCACATTCTTCTTTGAAAGTTATCACGTTTCATTCTCACTGTGTGATCTCATGTGTACACCACACCACCTGGCACTTCCTGAAAACTATTATAGGAGCACAGCAGCAGGCTTGATACATACAGAACTCTCTTTTACCCACACTTACTCACAAGTTCCCTCTTGTGATGTTTTCCTAAAAACAAAGGCAGATATTGAGGAGTAAGAATATGACTGATTAATACCACATGGCTAGGCTACTTATCCGCCAGCCTTTCTAGAAGGCTCATTGTTGTAAGTTGCCCAGTAAGCAGCTACCAAAATATGGTAAAATAGTGCCTACCATTTTAGTTAAACATTCTTTTGGATGCCAGCCCCTGAGGATTGCTCAGAGCATAGTCTCTTCATAGTACTGCTGAGACAAGCATGAAAGATATTTGATAAGCAGTGGAATTTGGAGAGAGACAAATGGATTAGGGGACAGGAACCTTGACAGTGAGGCGGGGCAAAAGACTTGCCATTAGGGAGAGGAGGGACTGGGATCAGATGGCTATTTTCCCTTTACATAACAAAGAGAAAGTGTGGAGGGGGGAAATCCGGCAGGTTTCCCAACTATTTTTATTGTAGGTTGGCCTGCCTGTTTAAGAGAACTGGTACAGTTCTGAGATGTATGAAGCAAACACATCCTAAAGAAAATGTAACAAATATGCATATCTGAAAGAGTTTTTATAGGTTCACGCTGATCTTTAACAATATGTGAATATGACTGAGTGAAACATGAAGCCAGTGGGTTTACTCTATTTTTTGAGGAATCAGTCTGAACAGAATAAAGGCCCAATTATAATGTCAATAGGAGGATCAGAATATTTGGCTATTTATTCTCAGGAACAAATTACCAAAATGTGATGATGTTTGACAAAGCTTACTTTTAATACCAAGTAACTTTGACAAGTGAAATCAATTTCTCAAAATAGTAAGACCGGATGAACATTACAGATAGAGATGGGCATGAACCGGAAAAATGCAGTTTATGTTGGTTTGTGGACCCGAACCAAACCAAACCGGGAGATTTGTTCGCGACCTGAACTTGTCTGTGGTTCCGCAAATCCCATTGAAAGAGACCGCAATCCCTTTAAACGAGGTTTGCAGAAAGCCAAAAAAATCAGATGTTGAAAGGGACAGCACAAAACAGCACAAAACAGTTGCTCCCCACAGCTCAGCTGGTTCTGCAGGTTTTACAGGGAACAGAAAACAGGGGGTTGCTTTCTGCTCTATCCATGAACTACCATGAACCACTTTAAAAGTTTGTGGAAGTTCATGACAGTAGACCCGTTATGAACTTCGATCTGCAAACCAAAAACATGATGAATTTTGCTTTGTGGTTCGGTTCATGCTGATCCCTAGTAACAGATGTTAATGGTAATGAATGTATGACCTCTTTTCACCTGGTTTCCCAGCCTGAAACACAGATTTTTACTTTATCTCAATTTTGTCTACTACTAGAGTATGTCAGAGACCTGAGGATTCATGGAAGAACTTGTGGTGTGTGCCAAAATACTGAATATTCACATTGCCAGGTTGGCCAAGTGTACACATAGATGACACTCATAAAACAGCTCCTAGCAAACGTTTTGAAAATATTTATAATTCTCTTGTTCTTTCAGAAATGTGCAGAGATTTTTTCATGTGTGAAAGGCAAGGATGTTTCAAACTATGGGGGAACTGAACTATGTAGCAGTCCTTTTCAATAAGGTGCTACTACAGATCAATTCAGAATAGCACAAATTCAGTTTTGCCATTGACTTCAAAGGGACAAATGAAACAAGTATTTGTAAATATGATGCCAAACAGAAAGTGCAGCTCTAGTTTCAAAATGCCAACTGATTAATAAGCCACAACACAATACCTGGATTTGTAACATGGCAGTTGTTAAAACTGATGATCTGCACAAAACTGATCTGTTATAAAGAGGATGTAGAAGTGGCCACAAAGGAAGTAGGCACTTGAGCTTATTCTCAGCACCTTTCTCAGCACCTTCCTATTGCGACATTTTGTGGCCTTCCTTCAGAGAATTTTTCTGCTCTTGAAAGATAACAGTCACACATCTAGGAACAGGATGTTTGGTGTTCCTGTATGCTGCTGCTTGCTGTTTCCCCTTGTGGCCATTATGAATGACTTTTGCCCAATTACAGATATTTTCTTCTAAGTCACAGCTCTCTTGCATGCTGCTTTGTAATATTTCTAGAACTTTTCATTTAATATTTATCAGCGAAAAATTTGCAGGAGATAGGAAATCAGCAGAATTCAGATTCATCAAATCAGCAGAAATACTAAACAAAATTGTGCAGTGACGAGAAACAGATGCTCAATTTGTATATGGCTATTATAGCCCATGTTAACTGGATTTAATTTCAATCAAAACTTTATTTTTCCTCAAAAAAATTCAGCCATAAGCAGCTCCTCATTAAAAAAATAACCTGTCTTAAAATGCACATTAAATCTAGTAGAAACATAATCTCATGATAGTGAATCGATCACCCTTATATGAACTTATGAAAAACTTATTTTAATAAAGAAAGAACTATGAGGAAACACTTTTGTCAGTAACTATACCGCTCAATATTCCATGTGTACATTATAGCCAGGGATTAACAGGTTGTGGGTGAGAATAAATTACAACTTCTTGGCTTCTCCCCCTTAGCAATATGCCACCTTGGGTTCTCAGGAGCTAAAGAAATGCTTAAACAACAAATCTGGGACACAGCTCTTCAGCTGATAGAGCTTGGGCACATCTCTGTCAGGTGGTAGGGAGTCACAGCCAAAACTCCGAGCCAGCAAACTAATCTTTACACTCTAGAATTCCTGAAATACCGCAGAGCTTTCACCTAGCCCCACTTTAATTGCTTGCCCTCAGCATTATTGGAAGGGAGATATTTGCACATTCCCCACACCCAATGTCTGTATTCCTGCCAACTGAACACAGTCGAAACAGTGGAACAAGTGTTATTATACTGCCTACTTTACAAGGACATTCACTCCACATACCTCACCCCTGTTCTTTCCAAATCCCCAGGAAGATCTGATAAATTCTATACATCTCCTCCTTGGAGACCAATCTAATGAGACCACCTCTAAAGTGGCCAAATTCTGTCCTGAGACTTGGACTATAAAAGTGCAGATATTCCAAACCTTTTAAGAACCTTTTAGGTATAGTCAGTTATACATATAAGGTTATGAATTTTAATTCTTGTATATTAATTTTATATTTGTACATAAACTGTGCTGGTAAACTGGCTGATCTCTGATTGTAATAAATGTTGTTGTTGTTGATGATGATGATGACTAACAGGTCACCTATGGCAAGTCCCAGTGATTCAACTAGGCAAGCATCTACTTTTCTTTTATATCTGGAAACAATCTTTTCAATTAGTTCTAATTATAAATACCATAGAACATAAATATTTACCCATTTGGAGTCTTGCTGGATTTTGGTTGGGGGAGGTAATAATACCCAAGCCTATCTATGCTTACTAGACTGTAACTCCCACCAAACGCAAAAGAACTTACTACTATTAAAGCAAGAGAGCAGATTCATAGCTTGAAATCGGTTACTGGAAAATTACACATAACAAAAGGAATATTGATGCTGAAGTTATCCTCAATTTAAAAATAAAATATTTCAGTCTTAAATGAAGCACCATCTACTTTGGTACTCTTCGTCTAAGTATTCTCTTAAATTTAATAAACGTGCTGTGATTTTTAAAAAAAAATAATTTCCATCTGCGGAAACATGACACCTATTTGATTCTTGCCCACATACTTCCTGCCCATCACAGAAAAATCCTAATGTTTTATTTCATACAGTTCAAATATTTGATATCCACCAGATGCTAAATCTATTGGATATTGGAAATATCAACGCACAAGGAGGAATATATTATACTTGCATCCTGTTTCTTGATGCCTTGTTCCTTCCACAGGTGCATCTGATGTGCACAATTAAGAGTTTCAAGATTTCCACATATTACAACAGATTAAGAGAAGGCAACAAAATGAACTCTAGAGATGGTAGCCCACAGTACCAAATTCTACCACATCACTCAAGATACCATTTGAATTATATGTTTCTCCCACTGATTTAATGGGTTGGGATTGCAACTTAGCTGTTTGATTCACTGACCACTTTCCACTTGTGCAGTTCTACTAAGAAAAATGCCTCTCTTAGTTTAATTGTCAACTCCAGTGTGATCTGTATGAGCCAAGTCTAGAATCAATAGAATTGTATACAGAAAGCTAGACATTTAAATGATTTGTTAGATTTGAGTTCAGTAGCACCTTAGAGACCAACAAGATTTTCAGGATATAATCTTTCAAGAGTCAAAGCTCCCTTCAGACTTGAATCTAACTGTTCCACTACAAACCAACAGGGCTACCCTGATACTATTTAAATGCCTGTGTCACTGTAAGAAAAGAGTTACATTGCCATGCTCAGAAATAAAATATAATTCCCTTATTTTTAAATACGTACCCAAATAAGGTGAGAAGATGTGTGCATGTGTGGGTACTCTGTATGGTTGCTTAAGGTCAGGGGGGAGGGGACTGGAGTTCACTGCTTGTCCTTCCAAAGCAAACAAAGAAGTGAAAACTTCACTGAGAGAGCAGGGAAGTATTAGTCCAAGCTCAAGAGGCTGCAACAGTTGTCCCCAGAGTTAGCATGGAACTGGGGGTCATGGAATGGAAGAGGAATGGAAGAAAAGTAAAGGTAAAAGGGATAAGCTGCAAAAATATGCTGAGGATGTATGCTTACATTACTTCAGTACAAACCAGACAGGACTTTTTGATCTTAAGAACTCTCACTACAATAATAAAGGTCACAAGCATCTACTCAACATACAAAAAGCCAGAAACACATGAATCAGGTAACTTTAATAGAACAATGTTACTATTAAGTAGGTTCAATGTGAATACCTTATTAAAATTAGGCAAAAATAGAAGGGGCAATTATATTTAACTTACATTTGAGTGTTTCTCCAGCATATGGAATATGCAACTTAAAACGATCACAGCTTGGTCCAAGAGTTAAGGATGTACAGCTAAAATGAAAAGAAGAGGCAGTTTATAAACAGGGCAACACAGTATCAGATTCTGGCAACAATAAGCAGCATGTCCATGAGGGAGAATGAGACTGGTTGCATTTTAAAGCTGTTGTGCTACAGCTCCCTTTTTACTAGCAACCATCCTAGAAAACACCAAGACTTATGCAGGAACAACAGAGATTAGACTGAAAGTCTGCAGGCAAAGGTGTTGTAAAGTATTTCATACATGTTAAGTGCTCTAGAACTAAATGAAAAAGACAAAAACTGGGGTTCATACTACTTAGTAGGCCTATGAACAAAACTAAAGTACAAGAAAATGTGTTTTGAAACAGCTACTCTTAAATATTCTTCAGTAATGCCTATCAATTTTTGCACTGCACACACCAGGGTTGTCATATCTGATTTTTCTGGCACTGATATACATAAAGGCTCAGGTCCCTTAGGAACTCTATGACTGACTGACAGGCTACAGTTTCAGGGCGAACCTCTTCAGTCCCAACGAGCTCAGCATGTGACCCACCGTTAATTTTCTATCAGGAGTTTGTCCCTACAGAGAATCAAACTGCTTTTGAATTTGTCTGATTTAAATAGCAGTGCAAATACCTTATATATGGCCTTTTTAATGTTTACATGCACTGGAAGACGTTTGCCTTTCAAAAGTTACCAAATGTTCAAGGGAGATTAAAAAACAGATTGGATTCATATGGAAACATCTGCATACCCACAGCCAAACTCTACTTAGTTAGATACTGGAAGAGCCTTCAAATTGCTTCACATGATATGGGATATGATATGGATGGATAAAACTTGCCTAACAAATGGAACTAGCCAGAAACCCCGCCCCAAACAAAATTGTTTCCATGTATGCATACATGAAGCCTCTTATAACAAAGGAACAGATTCCACATAAGATGTAAAGAGAATATATTTACCCTGAGTCAGCCTATATAGTTATTTCACTATGTTCAGCAAACCATTTGATACCCTCACTCTAAATCTATCCTTTTGAATTCAATGATTGCATTACTATATGATAGTCTTGCTTTATTTAAGTTCCTGATTTTTTTATTTATAAAGATGCCTTTAATAACAGTTCCTGATTTTTTATTTATAAAGATGCCTTTAATAACTCTGATGATAATATGAATCTTTTTCTCTTTTTCTTTTGTACATTTTGACAGAAACTTCAATAAAATACATGTTTAAAAATACAATTTGGGGATTCATTGCAGAATGCACCAATAGGAAACTCTCAAAATAACTCCACCGTATACCTTTGGTCATGTCCACTAGCTTTGTTTAGTGTTATGCAGCTGTTTTATGTCTCCAGCACACAGAAAGGGAGAAGAGACATTGCACTGAAAAAAGAGTCCAAATCATGCAGTCGGGAGTCCCACCCTCACATGAGAGAGTTCCAGCACTGGAGAGAAATTGGGGATCTGTCAATCCATTATTAATGGCTTTCCACAAAGGATTCAGACTTGCTCAATATGGACTTTCTGCTCATTCATGGGCTTTCTGCTCATTGATTAGGACCTGGGAGACCCAAGTTCAAATCCTCATGAAGCTTGCTGCATGACTTTGGGCAAGTAACAATCTCTAGGCCTAGCCTACCTCACAGGGTTGTTTTGATAATAAAATGGTGAAGAGACCAATGTGCAGCTCTCTGAGTTTCTTGGAGGGTAGGATTAGAATGGAGTAAATAAATCACAGTTACTGTGAGGCAGCTTGTTGCTAATGAAAGACCATCTTGATCAGTTTACAAGATTCTCAAAAAAAGCCAATTCAATCTGGCCTCCCCCCCCCCCATGAGGCGCCCCTACCCTTTGATGGAGGCATGTTATTTTAAAGTATTTAGTGTTGTACTTATTTTATTGCATTTATTGTGTGTATTTTGTTATTCTATTTTGATTATGTAAATCTACAGTCAGCAAGCAGATTATTATAGGTTGGGACCCACCCTGGGCCTGCTTTGCGGGGTGGGTGGGATAGAAATCGAACGAAATAAATAAAGCCACCAGTGGCACATTAGGGGCTATAATGCAAAGTCTGGCTAAGTAACATCAATCAGACTTCATGGAAAGCCTATCAACATAATCATCAATCAAGTGTATACCCCAACTACAGATGCTAAAGAGGAAGGAACTGAAAGCCTTTATGCAAGTGTCCTGGAAGAAATTAAACAAGATGTGCTGATAATCATGGGTGACTGGAACACAAACCTAGGAAACCAAACAGAATCAAATACTGTTGGAATATTTGGGCTAGGAGCATGGAATGAAGCAGAATGACTCATAGAATTCTGTGAAGACAAAAATTTGCTCATTGCAAACACAAGTTTCAGGCAACCAACCAGATGACTGAATATGTGGACATCACAGGATGGCCAATACAGAAATCAAATAGATTACATAACCAGAAGCAGAAGATGGAGAATTTACAGATGGAATTCACTGCCACAGGAGGTGGTGGTGGGTACAAGCATGGATAGCGTCAAGACGGAATTAGATAAGCATATGGAACAGAAGTCCATCAGTGGCTATTAGCCACAAGGTATTGATAGGAACTCTCACTCTGGGGCAAGTGATGCACTGTATTCTTGGTGCTTGGGGGGGCAACAGTGGGAGGACTTGTAGTGTCCTAGCCCCACTGCTGGACCTCCTGATGGCACCTGGTATTTTTGGCCACTGTGTGACAGAGTGTTGGACTGGATGGGCCATTGGCCTGATCCAACACTGGCTTCTCTTATGTTCTTAAGCTCTATTCTCTTTGCTAAAACAAGACCAGTAGACAATTGTGGTACAGATAATGAACAATATCAAAAATTAGAACATAGCTGTAGAAAAACACCAAAACATTCTGTGCCAAAATACAATCTAAACATTTCTAAAGAATTTGAAGACCATGAAAAGAACAAATTTGATTTCCTAACTGGAAGAACTACGGGTTGAAACTAAATATATTATCAAGGAAGAATGCACAAAGACTATTCCTATAGCCAAGAAGAGAAAAGTCTCGATAGATGACTGATAAAACTCTTAAAATTGCTCAACATAGATGAGAAGCAAAAGTATGTGACAGAAATAGAAGCAGAAGTCTATATGCAGCAATCCAGCAATCTGCGTACAGAGACAAAGAAAACTATTATTATAACCAGTGTAAAGAACTGGGGGGGAAACAACGAAGAAGAACAAGAGATTAGATCCACAAGATTCAGGAAATCAAAAGGAAATTTAAAGCACGTTAGGCATGCTGAAAATTTAACGCAGAAATACAGTAACTGAACAGGACAAATTCAGGTGGGTAGCTGTGTTGGTCTGAAGCAGCAGAACAAACTTTTAGTCCAGTGGCACCTTTAAGACCAACAAGGTTTTATTCAAGGTAAAAGCTTTTGAGTACACACACTTCATCAGATACAATGAAATGGAAACCACCAGTCCATACATAAAGGTAGAGGGTGACAGGAGTAAATTAGCATATAACAAAATGAAGATGTTTAACAGATGCAAGGACCAAACAGGAATAACAAGCTTAGTTTATACAGTTACCATTTGTTTGGGTTTAATTCTGGGGAAAACATAGTGAAGGAAATAAATATGTCAAAATTGGAGACGGATGAACAGATGAACAACAAAAGGGCCAGTTTGGTGTAGTGTTTAAGTGTGCGTTCTCTAATCAGGGAGAACTGGGTTTGATTCCTCACTCCTCCACTTGCACCTGCTGGATGACCATGGGCAAGCCATAGTTGTGGCACAGCTGTTCTTTTTTTACAATATATTTATTGGATTTTATGCATAGGACAAACACACACATAGACGGACAACAATGATTTTTCTTCATCAATACATCACATTGATTTAACAATTTGATTACACCTACATAGATTACATAATTTCTCTACCCTTTACTGACCAACTGTAACCATTGCGTGGAATCAAATCCTATTATTCTGCTCGTAATTTTATAACAAATCTATCTATTCCTAAAGCAACACCAACCATATCACATCGCTTAGTTCATTCTGTTCTACAGTATCATATCTTTCTCCAGATAACAATTATATCCTGCAACGCGCACCGGATTTTAACGTATTAACCACATACTGTTACCAGCATTTATTTATTTTTCCCTTACTTTAAACAGCAAAACATCCAAAATGAACAGGATCCTAAATTACTATATTTTACATATAGCACTGTATCTATTGCCTTCCACAAATTTATATAATACAACCAGAAAAACTTCAAACCACAATACAATACAAACCAGAAAGCCTAAAATTATTAACCTGCCCAATTAACTCTACCTTGTTCTATGGGTTTTTTTTTTACTTTTTACATTTCAGTAAACCACAAACCTATACATCATCACCAACAGCAATCAATATCCCAAAATAACAAACAATTTAATCATAGGTACAATTCATTCTTCTTCTTCTAACAGTAGGTTCTATTTCATTTACTTTACAGCACAGCTAAAATAGAATAAATGAACACTTTCCCTATTGCCTTCCACAAATTTCTACATTACACCCATATAATTTCAAACCACCATAAAGAAGAAGAAATGCCTCTTCCTTATTCTTCTCTTCTATCTTTCTTAAACTTTTTACCTTCCTATAGTTTCCCTTTAATCCCCAAACATATATTTCATCACCATCCATATCTAATATAGCAAAATATCAAACAATTTGATCATGGCTCTGACTCTTTCTACTTTTATCAATAGTAAATTTCATTTCAGTTAATTTAATGCAGGGCAACTAAGGCACAAAAAATTATTTTCTTACAGATCACATTTCTCTCATACCATCTCCAGTGCTTTATATATTTACAGCCAGCTATTCCAGATAAGAGGCAACCAATAATTTTAACTTATAACTAATACTAACAACCAAGACATTAGTCCTATATTTCAGCTCTTTTTTACCCCGGTTTTCCCCATCTTCTTCCAGATGCCGTAGATCTTTATACTCTTGCAGATTAATCTTCAAAAAA